TTTGGGGCCTCTCAGGGATCAGGGGTGTGTTAGGGGCCTCTGGGGAGTGCCGGAGGCCTCTCGGAGGTCTCTGGAAGCCTCCTGCTCCCGCTCTTGGGCCCATCTTGGGCCTCTTCTGGGGTAGTCTGGGGCTGTCCTGGGCGCCTCTTCGGCAATCTTGGAGCCTTCTTGGCCCGTCTTGTGGCCGTCCTGAGGGTCTCTTGGGTGGTCTTCGGACGGTCTTGGGAGCCTCTTCGGCGCTCTTGGAACGTTTCAAGCTCGAAATCGCGAGAAACCAAAAATATTGGAAAAACAATGAGAATCTACGATTTTGGCATCTTCGGGCCGTCCCGAGACGCCTCTCGGTTCTCTCTTGGTGTCTCTTGGATGCCACCTGGGAGCCTGGAGAGCCGTCGGAAGGCTGACTTGGGCTGCTTGGGAGCGTCTTGGACCATCATTTCGCAGTCTGGGGGCTCCTGGGAGGCGTCTTGGGCCCTCCTGGGGCGCTGTGGAGGTTCCCCGGAAAGGCCACGGGAGCGGTACCGGGAGCGTCCCCGAGATGTTCCAGGGAGGTGTGGGACCCGGGGCCGGAGGGGGGGGCGGTATCTGTATCTTATGGGGGAGGGTCACCTTCGGCCTGGCCAGTTTGCGAGCGCCTCAGCCTCGACGGGCCGCATTCGCGGCGATCTGCGCACGAAGTTCGTCAGGGCCAGGGGGTGCGAAGAAAAAGGAAGGAGGGGAAACCGTCAGCACCCATCGGCATCATCAACACTACCATCACCAGCATCATCATCATCATTGTCATCATGACCACGACCATCACCATCACCATCATCATCCTCATCATAATCATAATCATCATCCTCATCATAATCATAATCATCATCATCATCATCATCATCATCATCATCATCATCATCATCATCATTTTCATGTGTATCAACATCGGAAACATCATCATCGCCATACTCATCACCATCACTATCCCTATCTCAAGGACCATCGTCATCACCGCCACCAACACCACCATCACCACCACCAGTGCCATCATCACCATCGCCATTAACACCGCCACCAACATAACCACCATGCGCATCACCATCACCACAACACTTATCATCGTCACCATCACCATCACCACCACCATTATCGTCATCATCATCATCACCGGCATCATCATCATGATTACACCATCATCATCATCATCATCATCATCATCATCATCATCATCATCATCATCATCATCATCATCGTCGTCATCGACAACGTCACCATCGTCATCATCGTGATCACCATCATAATTATCATCAGCATCACGATCCTCCTCCTCCTCGTCCTCCTTCATCCTCTTCATCATCATCGTCACCATCACCATCCGCATTACCATCATCATCATCATCAACCATATCATCAGCATCCCCACCACCCTCCTCCTCCTCCTCCTCCTCCTCCTCCTCCTCCTCCTCTTCCTCCTCCTCCTCCCTATTCTCATCATCATCGCCATCACCACCACCACGTCCATCATCATCATCTCCATCTCCATCACCATCTCCATCACCATCCGCATCACCATCACCATCATCATCACCATCAGCATCAGCATCAGCATCAGCATCAGCATCAGCATCACCATCATCATCAACATCACCATCATCATCAACATCATCATCAACACAACCACATTCACCATCACCATCACCACCACCACCATCACCATCACCATCACCATCACCATCACCATCACCATCACCATCACCATCATCATCATCATCATCATCATCATCATCATCATCATCATCATCATCATCAGTCTCAGCGTCACCGTCGTCCCTAACGCCGTGTGCCGACGAAGCGTGCTTGACCCGTCGGTTTTGAGCCCCCCCCCAAAATCGCCTTCTGTGGAACCCCCTCGGGGCGCAGTCGGAGCGCGCCGGCGTGCGCATCTCCTCCTCCCTCCTCCTCCTCCCTCCTCCCTCCTCCTCCTCCTCCCCCTCCTCCCCCTCCTCCTCCTCCTCCTCCTCCTCCTCCTCCTCCTCCTCCTCCTCCTCCTCCTCCTCCTCCTCCTCCTCCTCCTCCTCCTCCTCCATTTCCTCGCCTCGTGCCTCGCCTACGCGACAACGAGCGCCGCCCTCACGAAGGCGCTCGGGGGAGAAGACGGGGCAAAAGACGTCACCGCGGCCTCCCCCTTGCCGAGGCGCCCGCTGCCGAGGCGCCCTCTCTCCTCGTCCTCCTCCTCGTCCTCCTCCTCCTCCTCCTCCTCCTCCTCCTCCTCCTCCTCCTCCTCCTCCTCTCCTCCTCTCCTCCTCCCCTCCCTCCTCCTCCTCCTCCTCCTCCTCCTCCCTCCTCCTCCTCGCCTCGTGCCTCGCCTACGCGACAACAGCGCCCGCCCTCTCCCGCTCCTCTCGCCAGACCCTCCCCCAAGCAAGCAGCCGTGTCGCCCAGGTGGTCAGCCCCTCTGGCAGAAGTAAGAGGGGGATTATTGGTATGCGGAACTGATGAGGCTTGGGCGGAAATGAAGAGGTACAGCGTTGGCAGGAGTATGGAGGGGATGAGAATCGGAGGGGGTGGGGTGGGCGAGTTTGTTCCCAGAGGTCTTACCCACGCCAAGACGTCCTCACCTCCTAGTCCCTCTCCTCCCCCCAGTGGCCGACCGCCCCCCTGGGTCCCCAATGGGGCGTTTCGGGTCTGGGGTTTGCCGTCGCGGTGAGGCGCAACAGCACTGGGGGACTGGTTCGAGGGGGGGACCATCGACCTGGAATCGGCGATAGATCGCCGACAGATCGGCGATAGGCCCCCTTGTGCGAATCCGCAAGTTCCTGGGCGGGGTATGGGTATGAAGCCCCTCTCGGCGATGTGTGGGCGATTGGGGTCGGTGCATTTATCACTGAGCCTATCCCCCCCTAACGCTGCCCCTTGGTTATCAAGTCATGACTCGGCTCTCTGGCGACCGTTCGGGACGCTCCGGGCATCCCCAGAACGCTCTCTTCCAAGCGCAGCTATTGGAACTCATCCCGAGGCTGGAGCATGGCCCGGAACCAACAAGAACGCTCGAAAACCTCGACCCTCGAACCCCTCCCCGCCGAAGGTTCCCCCTGATGGATTCACACATTGGAAGGGACCTCTCAAGCTTTCGTAAGGCCTGCGCAATGTCCATGAGAGCAAGAACGCAGCTGAGCACAGGAGGGCGTGCAGGCAGCTACGGAGCTCGGACATGCGGAAGCAAGGCGCGAACGACGCTGCCGAGCCCTGGGAGAGCAGAGCGTTGACAGCGCGAGCACCAAATCTGCCAGTTGCCCGGGAGCCCCCGCGCCATGCCCACGAGCGTTGCTCCACCCTCGCCATCGCTCGGACGTCCATTCCGTGTGCTTTTTTCGGTTTCGTGCGTGGCTTTTTCGCCAAATGATCAAGGATGCTCCTCGAGGGTCCTCGCCGAGAAAAAAATACACGCGCCCGAGCGATGCCGAGCCACCCCCGCCCGAACGTGCCTCCTGATTCGGGTCGGGCGAAAGGGGGGGATAGCAAAGGGGGGGGTTGAGAATCAGCTCACGTAGCTGATTCTCCTGGCGCCTCCCGGCGCCGGGAGGCGCCCCATGCATCGAGGACTGGGCCCCTCGGTGAGACCGAAACCAGCTGCATGCAGCAAATCTCGTAACCCCCCCTTTCCCAATGCCCCCCCTTTCGTCCGGCCCGACTGATGCGTTCACCGCCTGCCGCCGCGCCCAGAGCCGCGGCGGCTGCGCCGGGCGGGCCCCGCCCGCTGCGGGCGCAGAAGCGGGGCGGGCGCCTGCAGTTCGCCTCGCGCTGGAGCTCTTGGAAGGGGCCCCAGGACATACAAATAAACACACACAAATTAGAACAAGCCCCATATCTTCACATATTTTCTGGGTTTTTGTCTTCCCCCCCCCACTTCCCATATTTTCCCATATTTTCTCGAACATCGACGATTGATTGTGTCTGTGTGTTTTTTTCCCTCCTGACTCTTCTCGGGCGCGTGTGCCCTCTCCGCCCTTCCTGCGTTTCGGGTCTGAGGGGCAGCAGCCTGAAAAGTCCAGGGTTCGCTAGAGACTGGTTCCTCCCCAAAAAAACCGCCCACACCCATCCAGAACACACCAGGGCGCTTCCGAGAGGCCTCCTCTGGAACTCTTCGGGGAGGGTTTGCAGAGGGTTACGCAAAGTTTCGGTTGCTTAAGCGGGAAGACTCGTACCATGGATGCCTTGCTGTGCAGCTTGACGTGCCAACTTGCCTGACTGCCTCCGAGCACGCGAGCACTACGCATCGCAGAACAGCTACACTAGGAGCTCGACCTCAAGAACCACGCCACAAGAAACCTAACCTTTACACTCCAGGACGTCCATCGACTTTTGGTGTGGGAACGTCACGAATTCCGTAGCAAAATCATCGACACCCAAGAAACCCAGACCAACCTGAAGGCAAGCAGGGTGCTTGCTGGCATGGGTCTCCACTGTACCCGGACTGCCCCCACAGCCGGCGAGAGAACTGCTAGTCATGAGACAGGCGGGCGAAAAAGAGTCGGCCTCGCGAGGATGCCACCAACCATGAGAGAGGAGCGGCCGCACTCAGCACATGCAGAGGGAAGCCGAACAGGCGGGGGAACGACTGCCAGGGGCAAGGGTCCTACGCAGAAGGGAAGCTGAGCAGACAGGGGCACGGCTGCCAGGGGCAAGGGTCCCTGCAGCGCTCCTCCTACTCGTCTTCCTACATTTCCTCCTCCTCCTCCTCCTCCTCCTCCTCCATCTCCCCTCCTCCTCTTCGTCCTCCTCCATTTCCTCCTCGTCCTCCTCCCCCTCCTCCTCCTACGCCTCCTCCATCTCCCCTCCTCCCCCTCCTCCCCCTCCTCCTCCTCCTCCTCGCTCCTCCTTTTCCTCTTCCTCCTCCTCCTCCTCCTCCATTTCCTCCTCCTCCTCCCTCTCCTCCTCCTTCTCCTCCGCCCCTTCTCCTCGCATCCTTCTCCTGCCTTCCCCCGCGCCCCCCCCTCGTCCGCGGCGGCGAGCGATGCGGCCTCCAGGCCTGCCAGGCGCCCACGGACCGGCTCCAGGGTGCGCCTGGTCCCCACGAGGGCGGGGTGGGGTTGGCTTTAAGTCGGGCCTGTCTCTCTACAGGAGGTAAATTCAAGAATAGTCAAAACATAAGATGGGGACTTTTTTTTGCTAAAACAATATGTTTCGACCATTTTGAAATATGTTTGGAATATTGCTAAGTTTTCGCCCAAAATCCCCCTGTAAAGGGACAGGCCCGACTCAAGGCTGGCGGGAACGGGTGAGGCGGCTCGCCTGCGGAAGGCATTGCGCGCAGCTGATGCAGCCACGCGCAAATCTCATGACCTACAAAAGACAGGCGGGTGACAAGGTTACTGCAACCGATTCACGGACATACAGGACCTCGTTCCTGCGGACGTGCCTGTCGTCTTCGCCATCTCGATCTCTGTTCCTCCCTCGTCGGACTCCTCTCTCTCTTCCTCACTTCCCCTCCTCCCTCCTCCCCTCGATTCCACACGCCCCTGCCCTCTCCTCGCGAGGGAACGCGGGACACGGAGAGCGGGAGGACATGGAGGAAAGGAGGCACCACAAGCTGCGCACATAGAAACTCTCGGAGCTCCGCGCGGAATCATCGGATCCCCGCGGGAGCTCCCCTTCCTGGCGCGCGCCGCGCATCGGGGGCGGCTCCAGAGGCGCCGTCAGGGGGGCCCAACCGCCGATCCAAGAAACCCGCGCGGAGCTCCGAAAAATCACACGTTCACGCGGCTTGCCCTTCTTCGAGGAGGGCGAAAAGGAAGGGGGATAATGGAGGAAATAATCAGATTGGGGGAACTGGGTCCTGAGGGAAACGGGTCCTGGACCCTGGGGTCTTCCCCCAATACCAATTCGTCATCCTGACCTGTGTTTCCGACAGTCCTGGGGCTCGTGGAAAGCCTCGACAGGCCACCAACGGAAAAACACCTGAGGACTATGCCCGTTGTGATTCGTTCGTCGTGGCTGCTCTCCGCCCTCCCTTCCAAAGCGCTCCTCCTCAGCCTCCACAGCGCGCCAATCACAGCCACAGCGAAATTGAGCAACGTCGTCGCTGAATCGAGTTGAATCGAAAAGAAGCTCCCTCCCGTTGACCCCTCCCCCGCCGGGCGGGGGCGGGGGGTCCGGGGGGGGGGGGGGGGGGCCAAATGCGACGGCCTCCCTGGGGCGATCTTAAGCTGCGACTGATCAACGTTGCAATTGAATCAAAAGGAAACCCTTTCCGCTTGATCCATCCCCCGACGGGGGGGGGTCCCGCGGGACAGGGGGGGGTAAATACGACGGCTTCCGCGGGGCGATCCTAAGCGGCAGCGTGGTGTTTGAATCGAAGAGAAACCGACCCTTCCCTTTGATCCCTCTCCCGGCAGGGGGGTGTTCCCGGGGGGCGGGGGGCAGATACGGCGAGTCCAGACAACGAAATTGAGTGATGTCATAACTGGAACGGAGTGAAGCCCCTCCCCTTTGATCCGTCCCTTTCCTGGGGGGGCGGGGGCAGATACGACGGGCTCTTTGGGGCGATTTTGGACAGCGAAATTGAACAACGTCGTATTTGAATCCAAGGCAAACGCATTCATGTGGATTCCTCCCCCACTGCGGGGGGTCCCTGGGAGGTGTCTGGGTGTGTGTGTGGGGGGGGCAGATACGACTGCCTCCCAGGGGCGATCCCAGGCAGGGCAATTGACGAAGGTCGCAGCGGAATCGAAAAGAATCCCTTCCGCTGTGACCCCTCCCCCGCCAGGGGGTCCGGGGGGGGGGAGATGCGACGGCCTCCCTGGGGTCATTCCAGACAGTGGAATTGACCAGCGTAATAAAAAGGGGCCCTGGGACACACAAATAAATACACACAAATAGCAGAATTCCGCATTTTTTGTATTTTCTGGGTTTTTGTCTTCCCCCCCACTTCCCATATTTTCCAATATTTTCCTGGGGATGGACGATTCATTGTGTGAGTGTGTGTTTTTTTTCAGGGAAGGCCCCTTCCCTTTGATCCCTGCCCGCGAAGGCGCAGCGCCGGCGAGGGCGCCGGCGGCAACCTCGCAGCCAGGCCCGAGGGCGCGAGCACTGCGCCCGCGTCGCCCGCGTCGCCAGCCCCACAGCGCATGTCCTGGAGCCGCCCCCAGAACAGTCGGATCAAAAAGGACGGCAGATGGAGCATAGGCCAATGTTGGCAGCGGGGCAACAGCTGGTTGAGCCGGCGAAGCCAGGCGCCCGAGGACGCGACTGCCAGCGACGCAGACAGCAACCGAGCGTCTGTAAGAACCAGGAGTCTCCAGAGCATTCGTTCGGCTGGCTTGCCGCCGCGGCGAACGCTGCGATCTCGTCGCTTGCCGATTCAGTTGTTCTAGAGCTCGTGGGTCCACGGAGCTACCTTGAACGCGCCCTCTCCCAGCTTGCACTCGAAGGGCCTCCGCCAGTGCCAGCAATGATTGTTGAGGCGCTACAAGGGGGTGAAACCCCGCTCAGGTTACATACGCCTGGAGCGGTGCGTTTGCTCGTTCGCCTCAGAACTGCCAGCTCGCCCGAGGGCCGGGAGACAATTTGATTCTTCCCGTGGAATTGCTCGAATCGATCAGCTGACCAGATCGCCCCTTGATCGAAGGTCTCAAATTTGCTTTTCCCCTCCTCGGCCAGCTGCCCCAGAGCTGCATTTTGCCGTCGATCCCGCCCCCGGCAGCGCCAGCGTCTGCGGAGCCCATCGCCGAGCGCCGCCCGGAGAAAAAACGTCAAATCCTCGTGGCGAGCGCGCCGCCCAGCAGCCTCGCAGTCTGCAGCGCGGAGCGCGTTCGAGGCTAAATTCCTTCAGAACGTGGCGGGCGAGAAAGCTTGGCGGACGGAGCTCGCCCCCGCCGAGCCCGCCACCTCCGCTCGCCCCCCTGCCCGGGGGGGGGCGGAACGCCGCGCGGCAAGCCCGCCCCAAAAGTTCGTTTGGTCGATGACGTTTCTGGTTCCCTGTCGAAGTCGGCGACGGCGGTCGGGGGGCCCGCGCCGGTTGACTCTCTGGGCGCCCTGGCGGCCGTAGCTCGGTCTTTCGCGCGCAAGAGGCCGCATGAGTGCGCAGTGCGCACCTGGATGGGCGATTTTATGGGCGCTCATAGATCTGCGCCGCTGCGCGCGGAACACCAATTTCTGCGGTCTCGCCGCGCTCCGCGGCCGACCAGGCGAGAGGATAGCAGTCTGTTTGCCGCCCTTCGGGTCGATCACTTCCGTGAACAGATGGCGCGGATTCGGTTCGCCCCTGCAGGCAGCGCGCGCGCGCGATCTGCCCATCTGTCGTTTCACGGATGATTTGTTCTCTGCCGACAGGGCGCCGGGCGCGGCCGACGCGCTGGCGGGCCCGGCGGGGGCGGCGCATGGCGCGCAGCAGCGACTGGATTTGACGGGATGGGCTCTCGAGCCCGCCACGCGCGCAAGGGGCGCCGCGGGCGCCGCCATTCCGTGAGTCGACGTTTCTGCGCCCCCAGGCGAAATTGATTACAAGAGAAGCGGCCGCAGAGAACCCGGGGCGCTCTTCAGGGCGACGCCGCGCGGCCGGCCGAAGCGAAACGGCTTGCAGGCGCGGGCTGGCAGCGCCACCTTAGGAAAAGGTGCTGGGGCGAATGTGGCGGCATTTCGCTGGCAGGAGAATCGCCGCGCTAGTGCCTTGACTGCGCGCGCCCAGGCGGCTTTGCGCCGGCGGCTGCGGTTTCTGGGCGGCGCGCCGACGGGGCGGGCTCAGCTGGCGCCTCGCGTTGTCCAGCGGTGCGCTGCATCTGTAGATGCCGCGGAAGATGACCGGATCGTATTCGCACTGGCGCGCCCGAGTTCCCGCCTGTGGAGCGCAACGAGGCCCCGCAGAAAGCCCGCGGGAGCTGCTGGCCGCGGCGCGCGCAGTCCAATGCTGGATAAGCACGGGCTCGCTGACTACGACGCGAAGTCGCTCTTCCTGTGGATTGCAATCCTGCGTTGCTCGCGATCGTGCGCGGAGCAAGCAGACAATCCGATCGCAGTGATTTGGTCGCAGGGAGTTGATTCCAAGTCGCCGGCGCAAGCGTCCTCCAGCACGCGCCACGCGCGCCGAGCAAATGAAACTCGCCGATGGCCCGCCAGCTGCTTTTGATGCTCGAATATCGATGGGGATTGCCCAGTCGTGACCGGCAGCGCTGCCATGGGGCGCAGAGTGAGAGTTGGCTGGGACTGGCCATGTATTCAGAGACTTCACGGCCTGCACCTTCACATGGAGCGACACGGTGCGTGGGCGCTGTCTGGGGGGGCGATTTCCGTTCAGATGGCCGAACGGCGGCTTTCGCCCCCAAACTGGCGTTTCTGACGCCCGCCCATTTCGCATTGTCTCAGGTTGCGAATCTGACCCTCTTGGACCCCCCTGCGATTCGATCCTAGGTTGCCGATCTGCTGGTCACGGGCCGATTCGTTCCCTGTCTCCTTTGCAGGGGCTGGCGCGCCCCGAAGGCCTGCGGGTTGGTGATCCGATCGCAATTCCCGAGCCCGCGTGCCTGCCTGGTGTTTTTCCGTGCTCAGATTGAAGATTCGGGTCCGATGGCGCGATGGTCCAGTCCGCGCGCTCAAATCCCCAATCGCTTTCACTAATGCAATCCGTGGTCGCTGCAGTCATTGTGGCGACTCGCGCGCAGAGTGCTGATTTGCCTGACTGAGGATCTCCCCAGACTGGGCGCCTCTCGAGCGGCCTGGATTGAACGTTGCGCTCCACTGATCGGGGCAGGGCGCAGAACAAGAGATATGCAAGGATGGCGGGCGGAATGTCTGCCCCAGGTTTGGGAACGGCCCTGGGGGCGCCGCGCCGGCTGGCAATCTCTCCCGGCGCTCTACGTCGGAGAGCCGCGGGGATTGCGCGGTCGGCGATGGGCGCGCAGAGAATATAAGCGGATCCGGCGCTGGAGGGGGCGGTGGGCCCCTTTGCTCCCCGCGCATGTCTGCAGAAGTGGCGCGTGACATTCTGGACTGCGCTCAGAGGCGCGCCCTCGCATTTCGTGCAATCGCTGACGCATCCTTGCAAGTTGGCGATTAGTTCTGGCACGCCC